CGTTTTTAAGTCCTTGATTGTTGCAAGCAATTAGTATATACACATATAATTTTTAGATATACTGGAAAATGTGCTAAGCCCGTCAGTACTACTAACAAAATAGGCGACATCTTCGTTATGTAGTTCAAAAAAATTAGTAGTTCCTATTCAAACCTTCTTAAAAGTTGTTCGTGAAAGACAATCGGGATTTTAAATAAAAAACAATTTCATATTCACCACTTTTCATTACTGTTATTGAAATAAGTTATTTAAGCACTGGACTAATGGCTAGTACATAATTTAAAGTACAATAATCTGATGTAATAAGCTCATGCATAAAAGAAGACTTCAATCCTTATACAATAAAGTACAAACATGTTTTTTTTATTTTTTTATATTTTCTGTTTATATCGCAGGTACATCCGTACTTTTACGAGTAAATGTCGGGACTAGTAGAAAGAGCAAACGCTAAAACGACTCTCCGTGAAATTGTTCGCAACGTCAAAATGTTGAGTAGCGGCCCTTTCGTCGAAGCTAGCAAAAGGCACTTCGTCAGCACTGTCGCAGCGCGTAACTTGGAATGTAAGGTGACGTTTCGTCGTTTTAAGAGAGAAATTTATCGAGCTGAGTTATCGGGGAGCTGCCGTTTCGCACCCCGATAGCACTGTGTCAAAGCGCTACGGAAAATTTACGATGATACGCTTTTGGCATCCTTTTTTTCCTTGTCTGTCGGACTCCCGAACAAGTAGTTTATCGAATAAAAAATTTTCACTTTGTTTTTTTTTATTTTTGAAAACTAGTCGTTTCTACCTAAAAATTTACATTTCTAATTCACAGATATAATCACGTGATGATTATATTTTATGTGATTCGATTATTCGAAGCTTTTGCAGAAGGTAGATATAAAAGAGAAAAACTGAACAAATTATTTTTACGATCGATATAACGACAATCGTTAAAGTATTCGATGAAAAACAATATTGTTTAAGAGACAAAGAAAGAAAACGATTATTATTTTAACGATTTTTACTGAATAGGATATAAATGGCATTTTTGATGAGGCGTCATAAAGTAATATTCATTTTATTATATTTCAATTAAGATTATAATACGAGATGTGGCGTAAGTTTATACAAACAGCTTACTTTTGATTATACGAAATTAATTTGCATTTTTTGCTTTCTACTAAATTTAAATTTAGTAGAAAGAAAAGATGCGCCTCGCCGTTAATGAAAAAGCAACCAACTTTATCGCTTCATTTTTTCACAAATAATCAATACGCTCTATCATATAATTAGCACTCTTGAACAGTTTTCCCCCAAAACTACGGTATAATCCGGAAATCCTAAGAACGTTGCTCGTAGAGTGCAAGCGACAAGATAATCGCTAGCAATTACTTAAGCGAGTGAGCCTCGTAAAATTCTCTGAACCTAGTGTGCGATGATAGTAGCATTCATAAATCCCAGCTGGAGCTATCTATTTTTGTGACGGCGATCTTTCCAAACGTCTTCCATTTTTCGCTTTTTCTCGTTTTTTTTCACTGGCTCGTTTCTCGCTCTCTCGAGGTCAGGGATCATCGTTACGATCAAAACTCGCGCGTCGCATGGAATACAGAGTGTCCATCAGTTTGTGCTGTGAACGAGAAAAAAAACGGATATGTGACTGTTCCAGCATTGTAGGGGGCGGGTCGATATGGCAGACAGAAAAAGCGCGTTATCACACGGCTTCGGTTCACGTACGCGCTCGTTCCTACTCAATTTTTTACTCGCTGGCGTTCAGCTGGAAGCTAACACCACTGTCGTTGATTATTACGATGCAGGCTTTTTTTCACTTTGCTTTTTGACGCGACTAAGTGCGACAAATCAAAGTTATGAGTCTACGTTTTTATGTTTCATTAATGAGTTCTCCGCTGTGCTTTGCAGCAGGTCTTTTATGACGGTCGCATTCTTTATTTTACAATTTGTGTTTCCACGGTTAGTTTATTCTTTAATAAGATAATATGTAAGCAGCAAATGTCTGTTCGCCCTTAAAAATGATACCATTTCCAATTAAATTTTGTTGTCTTGCGAAAATTACTTTCACTCCACTAGCAATCCGTAAAATAAGAAATCGAATTAGTATAGGTAATGTGTCAAATATTACAAATATATATAAAAAAAATATAACAAACTATACGTTTTACATGTCTCAATTATTTTCATTTAGCAAAGTATTCATTTTTTGAAATAAAAATTCATTTATTCGTGGAATGACATGCGGTATATTTTTTGTGTCTAACAAAAAATTTGATAACTTGAGCAAACGCAACGAATAACCTAGTTTTCATACATTTACGTGTCATTACCGAAAGTTTTGGGTAGTTGTAATATCATTTCACAAAATTTCGCATATGTAAATTCGTTACATATAAACTGATTTATTTCAAAGTTTTAAAAACAGTTTTTTAAAACTTTAAAGTAAGTTTATAAAATAGACCATCTTTGTAATCATAACTTTGACTAACTAGAATAAATGATAGTTTAATAAATATTTTTCACGATCATTACAACAGCATATATATTATCTTAAAAAACGTGTATATTGTATTAAACAATAAATAATCAACGTAGTTTTTATCAAATTTTCAAATTGAATTTACAATATTAAATTTTCGGTTTCATCCATCTATGATATTCATAGAGAACACGTTATACATCGATGACATAGGAGGGTAGGTTTGCGTTTTTACATTTTCTCTAATTATTTTAATAATAAATGACAGATTATTTCAGAAATCATAATGTTGTCGAACCCCACTACTAAACTAATACATCTAAAAAGAAATAATGTATCTGAAACTGAACTAATGTATCTGAAAAGAAAAGTAGTAGTTTCCGAAGTAATAAAAAAAATATTGAAGAAATATATTACAAATTGTCGCGAAATCATGAAAATAGCGACGCGAAAAAATTTTTTTCATTATTTGTCTACTATTAAGATTAAATTGGTTTATTTCTGAAGGAGCAGTTAAATATAAAACTATTTTTAACATATATTTCGGTTGGAAAGATGTCAATTTTATGAAACCCCCAACGGTGCTCCAATGTGATACAGCCCGTCCCGGTTGAGCTACCTTAAGCATAATTTATGTATTCAAAACTATGCAAGGGTCAACGTTTCGAACAGAAAATAATCAAAAATAGGTCTTTTGATGTATTTTCATAGGTAAAATTCGAATGGAAAAACAGTTTAATGTTATCTATTTTGTATTTTATTAAATTGCAAAAAAAAAACGATCAGGAAACATAAAAATGATGTTTTCATTTTCAACGATAGCAACATTTCTATAGGCAAGAAAAGGACATTAGAAGCATACGTAACGATGAGAGAATTTTTTATGGTGTAAGAAACATTTCGTATAATAAAATTGAAAATTAAGAGCGTGCATTATTGAAATTGGCAAGAGCACTAATTGAATATTTGTAACAAGTGGTGCCAAACGATTAATATTTTTTTTTAAAACAAGACAAACATAGGCGTACTGCGAGCTCCTTTGATGTGGTTTCATTTCCATTCATCATGTATTACTTATACGACATGACTATAGTTTAGTCAATCAAATCATGAATAAACTAGCTTCACTTTCAGGCCCATCTCTTTTTTATAATTTTATAAAAGGATCGCCCGTGCACAAAATTTCTCTTTTAATCCGATTTGTCAAATGTAATGTGTAATAGTATTGGAAGCATCGAAATTATTGAAAATTAATATCGTGTAAAAAGCATTCGGCCAGTATCGTCGTCTTAAATTTCTAAGCAGATTGAGACATTATAAGCAAGATGAGTAGAGCTTTGAGAACGATTAAAGCAGACGCAGCAGGTTGTTGAATCGGTAAAAACTTGGGCAATTCAGCGCGTGGAGACACGGGTAATCACGCGGCAATTATGCAAAGCACCGCGCGATTGCGGCAAGTCTGGCGTAATCGCATAAGGAGAGAAGATGAATGCCCAAGGGCGCACACAACTGCAAGGAGATGCTATATACATAGAGAGAAAGAGACGGAGAGAGAAGAGAGAAGAAGAGGCGAGTAGGCCAGTGTCGTTTTGCTCCGACTGCTCTCCAGAACTTTGTAGCCAATAGGACACGAATCCAGGAGGCAGCTATGAACTTGCATTGTACTCTTGCGCTTATTATATGCAATTGTCTCTAGGTAGTTATGTCGAACGCGTGCATATGATAACAAGTGTCGTTTGGATACACTGTAGGTATATAATATGGTTGAGGATATCTCGTATCGAATTTCATTGAAAGAATATTGAAAGCAGCTTACCAATTATTCAGACTGCAATTAATTGAATTTCTCTTTGACAAACGTAGATGATTGAAATCTTGAATTTGTCGGAGCCGAGTGAAAATTGTATTAGAGAGATAGCGCCTCGACAACGAATTAAAGGGTCACGACTTCTAGAGCTTTGTGAAGTCGAGCGTAGACGACTCGTTAAAAGCAAGTGTACGCGTATGTACAAGGCAACTAGTGTCGCACAAGCTTGGACAGCTGTATATATATAGCTGCTTCTGTTGTTGCTAGATAGCCTAGGTGGCAGTGTGCACGGCTCAAAGGCAAACTTTGCTACCGAGATCTTGGACAACCGGAAATAATCCAACAATGAACAAGGTAAGTAACTTAACAGACTACCTTTTTCACCGAATAATAAGACAATCATATACATGTATAGACATTTATAGGTTACCGTATTAAACGCTATACGTACTCGAGTTATACTTAACAGGAAGATTTTCAATAGTTTTCAGACTTAAGCCAACCAAGAGAAATAAGTTCTTGAGTTATATTTACTAGCTCAAGCCTGAGCGCCTGAAGTCCGAAAGCTATCAACAGTCTTTCGACAGGAAAAACGATTAAACTTGCTCTCTCTCTTTCTCTCCCTCTCAGTTTCTCTCTCTCTCTCTCTCTCTCTCTCTTAATGTACTTCTTTCCATCGTGCAGCGCGCAATTTCTCTGAGGGTAGAAAGCAAGAGCTTACCTGATTGATGCGAGAGTAGAGCTATCAACGACCATAGAGCGCACAGCCATCTCCGTCGGTTTCCGTCCATCCTGACTCGATTCACTGGTAAAGACGTCAGAGTCCTTAGTCTGTAGTCGATCAGCCGGGCATTCAATTTTACGGCATTGCCAACGCACACACATGCACGCACTCTCTCTCTCTCTCTCCCTCTCTTTCCACCACACTAGTACTACTACAATTGCACTTTGTCGCTGAGGCTGACTAAACGCTTGCTCTTTTCACTGATAACTGTGTGCGCGCGCTCGATCGATATATTAATTTTCAGCTCCCACTTGTTCCTAGCAGCTCACTCTCTACTCCTTGTCAAAACAAGTAGGTGCAGCAATACTTTTACCTTGTTAATACACCACCTTCACCTTTACATTTTTAGCAATGTCTCGAGCGTCACACTACACTACAAATTCGACTCAGAGCTGGCGCATTAAAACATTTGCATACATATCACTTTGTTAGTCTCTTTTTCTAGATGTGAATGTGTATGTCGATACTTCTTTCTTTCTCCCTCTGCTACTCCGTGATATATCGAACAAGACAAGTTCATTCACACACAAAAACTACGAGCTCCGGGAGATTGTCATTGAGAAGGGTCGTCTGGAGCTGGTTTCGCTGTTGGCTTCGAGTGCTTTGTAGGGCATCATGCCAAATCTCAACGCTTCGATTTCTCCCTTTGTGAACCTGTAACACAATCAATTTTTACGATTTTAGTTTGGTACTTGAATGATATTGTATAGGGGGAATGTGTTGGAGGAAATGTTGTCTGCAAAGAATATTCTATTGATTTCTAAAATTTCAATCTGCACTGAAAAGTACTAATTAATTGGTTAGCTGGATTTTTTTAATTAAAAATATTGATGCAATATACTTCATTTTTTTCAGGTACAAATAGCGAAAATAAATAATAAAATCAGCAACAAAAAAATACAAAAGATTTCGAATTGAAACTTTAGCAATTCCACGTGTTTTATTAAAACAACCATAATGTATAATAAAATAAGAGAGGCTAGAGAAATAAAGACGGAGTTGGTATTAGACAAAGAAAATAAGATCGCAGGTGGCGAAATCTCCATTTATCTCAATAAAGCCTAGTGACGCATATTGGGAATTTCTATGGTGAACGTCAATCATATATCGGGAAATTACATACAAGTTTTCGAGAATCTTGACAAATCTATTAGAAAAGACAAACTGAATGTCTAAGCGAAGAGCCACACCCGACAAGATAATTCAGATAGTATATCTGTTTTTACCCTCTATCATTAAGACAGAAACGGAAGTGCGTCGTGAGAGAGTAGAGAACGAGAGAAACAAGAAGAAAATATAAGTCGAAGACGATCAGATGGTCATCAAGATAAAAAGAACTGTACTGAGAGAACTAACGTAGTATGATGGATGGCTTAAAAAGGTCGAAAAAAAATTTACAAATTTAATATTATTTAACTGATAATTAACTATATTTTATGCTTTAATGTTCCCATTCGTTGATAGTCATAATTGCTTTTATTAGATAGATCACAATGATTCTTTTAAAAAGATTTTTCCAATATTTGGGTGTATAACGGAAACAATTATTTTTTAATTACGACCAACTAATGAAAGAATTGAATTGTATTTTTCATAGTACCTGTAAATTGGACTCAACTTTTAACTAATTTTCTTTATTCAAATAAATGTTTAATAAGCGCACTGAAATAAGGATGTAGATAATTACATGTATTCATGACTCTCGTGTTTATTTGAAAATTAAATCCTTGGACAGTAATATTAAATCCATTCTCAAACTAATAACGTTGATTTTCAAATAATGATTCATAATTACTAACTAGTTTTCTAAGCAATAAATATAACGAAAATTATTTGTTATAGCTTTTTATTTTTAGATTGATTCGAAAGAGTTACAAGAGAAAAAAAACAATATTTTTCTTTTCATTAATCAAGTTATCGTCAAACAATTTTATTAATACCGAACAACGAAATTATTGATAAACTGGCTAATGGTAATTGTATCTCAGATTATAATAAGGTATAAATCCATTTCACTGGAATTGAAGGTTTTGTTTAGCGCTAACCAGTATTAGTTCCGTGACCTCTTGTATCAAATCTATAAAGCCACCGAACAAACACATTTCAATCCACAGTTTTTACTTTTGTTTGTATCCGATATGCAAACTAAGCTAGTTAGAGAGAAATCACCTATAAAAGATCTGTTTTGATATCTTAAAATAATTCTCTTTTCGGGGGGAAATGTCAAAACTTGATAAAAATATCATGGAATTCGTCAAAAGCAAAGAAAACAATATTTGAGATATGAATAAGTATATGTGTAGTTCAGTGCGAAACAAAAAGGGTGAAAAAAAGTTGCGAGTCCCAGCAGGGACACAAGCAATTTGCGCGGCACGAAGAATCCGAGTATTACGTAGCTAAAGAATCCACGCGATGGTGGTGTCCCCGAGGGGGCGAGAGATACGAAAGGCGCGCTTCTATAAAGCGACGGGATGTAATTGGGTCCTCTCGCGTAGCCCCAGCAATTTTCGAGCGCTCGCGTCGGCGGCACACACATGGGCCTGGATTAAAGTGCTGAGCCAAGTGGGAGAGCCTCTTCGCTGACTCGATTACGATCGAAAAGTTGGCACGGACATGGAAAGAGAAGGGGTGGTGAGGGAGGAACTCCAGCCGGACTTCATTGCATGGAAAAGCTGGATGGCCGACGTTCGAGCTTCTAGCAATTACGTTCTAACTGTGCTAGTTCTCCCTCTCCCTCCTTTCCCAATGTCCTATACTGCCTACGTTGTATAGTCTAGTCCACTTCTTTCTTTCCCTGTCGTAGCTTTTTCCATTTCTTATCCTTCAATTAATTTTCGTCTAATTTTATGCTTTGTTTTTTTTTATTTCATCCTTCTTTCTTGGTCGTACATTGTTCCTCAACTCTGATTAATATTGATTCCATATTTTATTGCTTTGGCTTTTCTTTAGTATAACGTTATTTTATTTTGTATTTTTTGTGCATGACCCAGTAGCAATTACAAATGTTTTATTAGGAATTATATTATAGTTATAATGTAATAGAGTACCAGAGCAAAGAATATGGTATGAGTACTTGTATTTAATTACAATGAAATTCCCTTCACTGACGTAAAAGCACAGGGCGACCTATATAATAACAAACTTTAACTGACCATAAATTATGCTTTTACATTGAGATATGAATGTCGGCAAAACGTGAAATTACTAGGAATACAAGCTTCGCGTGACCTAAAGTTAATCTATAACAAAAAAACTTTCCATTTGATGACTTTTCGAAAATTTGCAGTTATAAAATTACTTTTTCCACCTCAATGTTCTTCATCCCTTTCAGCAAACATTGAATGTGTTTATGGATGTAAAATCATATAATTTCATCACGGCTAAAGATATCACCATTGAATTACTGTATAGTATTAAATTTTTATAAATGTTGTTACTATTGCAGGTAACAGTAATAATTGTATTTGAAATGATTGAGAATATAGTTATAGCCATAATATTTTCAATTCTGTGTTTGAAAATTTATGAATAATTCTATTCTTACAAATATTATTTAATTTGAAAATTTTTTTTCCATTTCTTTAAATTTGATTGTTCTAGAGCTGTCAAAGTTTCCGGCAATTAGATCAAAGCAATATATCGATAGCAAGAAATACAGTTCTTTTTTGCTATCAGAGAAACAACATGCGCGTTTATTAAGAAGACACAAAGAATAATTAAAAGTCTCATTGATAGACACGTTAAAGAAGGAATAAAAATTTCAATCTCATCGCAAATTCCTGGCATTCGCCAACTTCTTTAAAGTACTCTGTAGCAACTAAGGTACAGTGTATCAAAGGAATGTGGAGCCACAAGTCTCAGCTCGGCAAGCACCTTCCGCCCGGGGAATTTCGAGTCGGGCAGCAAAGCGAATATGTATGTAGCATGGTCTCCACATGTGAAAGTTCTTGAAAAAAGTCGAACATGACATTTGAACGAGAGAAACTTGATTTTTTAACTGAAAGTCAAAAAATCGTGGAAGTGGTTTCCGCGTCAAGCGGATGTCGATAACATTTATTTTAATTAAACAAGGCAAATTTCATACCATTTGATTATTTATAAAGATTAATAAAAAGTTACGGGGAAGTAGAGCACGGCAAAAATTAAAATCTATAGAAATAAAAACAAAAAACTTCTGTAAAAGTTCACTTTATACTTGTGAAAAAATTGTAAAAAGAACTTTTTAAAAAACTTTAATTAAAAATGGCAATGGAAGAGGTTTTCATTATATGAAAAAAATGTTAGTTAAAAATACTTTGTATCTCACTAAATCATCATGTCACCAAATAGATTTCTAATAAAGCAAAATATACAAAATAAATATTGTCTGTTATCGTATTTGATATGATAAGTTTTCGTAATTTTGACCTTGGAATTCGATTCAGCGTTGAAAAATACCTCAGAAAACTATATTCACACTCCCTTACTATAGAAAGTTGACTTTCACGACTAAAAGGATAGTTTAACCTTATTTTAGGGTTGGTTTATGGTTGTTTCGTAATTTTGAACTTATGATATCAAATTCGTAATCAGTATGTCCAAAAACCCCAGAATTAACCTATTTTACAGACTATCTTGAGAAATTATTTTGAGCCACTATAGTGGTTTTCCCGTCCTTTAACGGTTAAGAATAAGAAAAAAGCATGTGGAGTAATTTATAAAATTCATTGTAATGATTGCGATATGTTGTACGTATGGCAGATAAAGTGCCAATGGGCCGTGCGCATTAGCGAACATACTATCCTATCTTAAAAAATTATAATGAGTTGACATCCAGGGGTCCGATTGATATAGAAGTATCCAGTTTGAATCCTAGTGAATTACGTTCCGAATGTTTTGATACTGAACAACTATTTATTCACATTTATTTTAATTAAAATATTATATAATTAAATTAATAAAATAGTAAAATATTTAATTAAGAATTTAATTACTCTATTAACGTAATTAATATTGATATTTTAAGATTGTAATATTCCGCGAAGTTATTAAATATAATTCATTAAAACTATTTATTTATTGAATAACTATGTTCATATAAATTAATTTATATGCATCAGTCAAATGTTGATGGTTAATAAAACAAACTTTTATTAGCTTATATTTAAAAAAGAAGTACATTTTTAACAAAATATGGAAGACGTTTTAGTTTTTAAATAATGTATGTAATACACATACATATATCAATTATTCACACATACGTGTGTTAAACGCTTTTTGCATCATATGTGAATCGATTATGAACATTGTAAATATGAAAAAATTAGCTGATAGAACTTGAGCAATAAAATAGATTCAAGCAGAATAATTAATCATGTTCGATCATCGAAATTTGGAGGTTTATGTTGAATATGCTAACTTACTAGTTGTGACATATATAGGTACAAAAAGTAGACGATATTTTTGAAAGGTACAAACATGACGTTATATTTTAATGAAGATGAAATTTACATAATTTGTAGAAATGTTCATTTTTAACAGTGGTGTTTTTTACAGATGCATACAATTATTTATATCAACATGGTTATATAATTAATAAATTATTTAAATAAATTATGTTTAGTAACTTCACAGACTTGCAATTGAAAAATTGTAAATTAATTGTGGTAATAGAATAATTCAATTCTGAACTGAATATTTGATAATGTTTTATTAATTTAATTTCATAATATTTTTAATTTAAATAAAAATATATGAATAAAAAGTTGTCCAGTATCAGAACATTCGGCATGCAATTCAATAGAATTAAAACTAGATGTCACTAGAATTTGACTAGATACTTGTATATCAATTAGATCCCAGCGTTCTGGTTGGTTGATGCTAAAAAAGAGCACGAAATATTTAAATTGTCCTGTACTTTGAAATATTTTTATTATATATATAGAAGTGTGAGATTTATATTTCAGCAGTAAATTTAATTTATAAATGATTAATACAGATAATAATCTGTGAGAATTGGAAATACGTCTTTAATAAATAGTTTTGAGAACATAAAAGGTTATGATTTGAAATTATTAGTATAAATTTATAAATTGATATCTGACATTAAAATTAATATTATTGTTTTAAAATTTCATTGGAAGTGAAAGAATGTAAATATAATAAATTGGAAGAAAATGCATTTTTATCTTTTGTACATTGTAAATTAAGATGTATGCTAGCAACGGAAACTAATTATTAGAATATTAATTTATTAGTGCAAATCGAAATACATTTCAGTATTTCCGTTTGACATGTTTAAAGTTTACTGATTACTTTCACGATTCCTATTGGATATGATGCATAAAAAATATTTTTGACAAGAATGACATTCACTCAATATTTACGATAAGAAATAATCAAATATATCTTGTACGTTCGTTTATATATTGTAGCCTTGAGAAAGGTGATTTTAAAACGTCACTAAAACATTGGTGAAATTAATAATAAAGATCGGCTCGGAAGGATCCAAAAGGGAAAAACTTGATCAATCACTTAAAAAACTCCTTTTCCTGTTCAGATAATTGTATTTCCTATTTCTTGCTATCGTCTCAATAAATCAATTTTATAAATTAATCCCATCGCATCAAGAAGAATCTCAACAATCTAAAGTTGTAACATTGATATAACAATATAATAATTACTGGAAATTGTTGAACAGCGGAGAAGCTGGTCAAGATCAAACATGGAAATTTAAATGTTCCTATCTTTATTATTCAGTTTTGTTCCTTGAACATCTTTGCGTTACAAAAAATTTTCAACTAACAGTTCTTATTTTGCAATACTATTGTTCTGGTGGTAATTAATTTTGAAATAACACTAGTTCAAAAAATATATTTTTCTCAATATTAAAGTCTTGATATTTCTCAGCTATTTTTTCTCTATAAGATACCAAAAAATAGAAAAAACAATTACAAAAAAGTTTGTTTACTTTACTTTTAATTTCCTTTAATTCTAACGAAATATGCAAATACTCAATAATGGTTTTTTCTAACAAACCTGTGAGTTCTTTATTTGCAAGATCTTATGTCAAATAGAATCCAATTCAAAACTAAATCCCACTGGAAGATCCATCTTATTTTACCTTGCCACGCTTCTCTCTTTCACTCTCGCTCTCTCTATTTCTTTCTTTTTGCTTTTTTACAGAGAAGTCGCACGTGACGAAAGAAGTGATCGTAAATTCGGGCACACGCATTCTAAAGCTCGCGGTATTTTTGTTACGTGACAGAATCCGTGCCTGGAATTTCATTTCTTGGCATAAGCAATTTCCTTAGAAGAGTCTCGCGCGATTGATTTTATAGGCAGGGTGGCATTCAATTAAGATTGGAAAATGAATGTAACGGTCATGGCGACCAAATCATTCCGAAAACGATGCAGAAATACCATTTCAAACGCTATTTGATTATAGAATTTTATATAGACCATAGATTTCTTTATAACCCACTTTCTTTCCTTATGATATTTATTTATATAATCCATTAACTTTCGTTTAATCCAGTAATTATTGCATTATTTCAAATTAGCTCTTAGGCAATCTCTATAATAATCAATAGTTTACGGAGTCCTATGTTGATGTTTTGCAAAATTGATTGAAGTATTTTCACAAAGGAAAAATATAATGAAATATTGAACAATTTTCTTTTCTTAAAATTAAAATGAATATTAAATAGAATAAATTGGTTTAAAAAATTCTGTATATTATAGTAAGACATTCAATTTTAAGAAACTAAAAAAAGGTAATTAATAAAAATCAGAAATCCAAGTACGATTTATTTTATTGATACTTATTTTATTTTAAAAAAAGTATATTTTATAAAGCTTTTAACATTTTTTATTATATACTTTCAAGTTATGCTTTTAATTAAATTATTCCTTAAAGCAAGTAATTCGATAAAAAGAAGAAATCTTTATATTAGAATTTTTTAACAAAACAATGGTGGTAGTGTGAATCTATTATTGTTTGGTTTGAAATGATTAGTTTCAAAAAACAAGAAATCTTTGCATTCTTAATGTCACCTCTGAGGCACTCCTGTGAGGGATTAACTTGCAAAAGTAATGATCGACGAGTGTTATAATTTAATATAACAACTATAACAAATATAAATTAGACATTATGTTTTTGGGTCATTTCTAGAAAAAGGTAAAATAAAGAGTGCACGATTTGAGGATGAACACAGTAAAAAATAATAGTTCGTCCAAGAAACATCAATAATATAAAGTAATGGTAAGTAAACAAGCTAGTACAATATAAGACGACTTAAAATGACCTTTATAGAACCCAAATTAAAAAAATTAATCATTTAGATAGTTTTGTAGTTTTCTTATAAATTACACATAGCAGTAAAGAAATTTTGACGTTTACAGTTATACAGCTGATTTGAAAACGATCAAAAAGTGGGAATAACAATCCCGAGCAGTCGTTTTTACATTGAAAACTTTACAAATTGATCATTATTTCAATTTGGTAGATTTTGTTCGGTTTTTTTTTCCACTGAAGGAAAGTTAGAGCAAGAAAAGCTACTTCGATAATTTATGATTTTTATATTTATTATTAACTAAATTAATTAATGCCTGGAGATTCGATTTACTTTTTGCATAGACTTTTTACTTTTAATTCATGGATTTTACCACTGCCCACTTGCAATAATTAAATTACTCAGATACACAGATCTTTTTGAGTACAATATAAAGTATATTTATTCAATAATGCGCGACGTTTGAAGAATATGATTAATTAATTCTCATTATCAAGCATTCATATATTACACTCCATCATCAAAAATTTTGATAATAATTCATAGCCAAGGTCTTTAAATTCTTATACCTGTGTTTATGTATTTTCTCGTTCTTTCAACTATTAGAAATATGTATGTCAAAAATTATTAAATGTTAATTATTATAATTAACATTTAATTATTTAATGTTTCTATCTCGAAAGACTATTCCTATTCTTTTGGATGTTTCATTTGTTCGTGAATTTTGCTAATTGAATCACCAACAAGACGTACTTTCGACAGTTTTAATGTACATAAAAGTTTGATTATTCGTAGCTTAAGATTTCATAAATATCTTGATAATTATTATTATAATTGTAAAAATTCGATTTGTCATTTAAAAATTAAAGTTTGCTCTATATTTGAACTGAACCATCTACGAAAACGTATATTGGAATGCATAAATGGATAGAATTTCAATTATTTTGTACACATGGAGACTGCATAGTTTTTAACTGCCGCAGGTGATTGGTAGCATCTTTAACTGATAAAGACTAATGGAATTGGATGTTAAAAATTAATATATCAGATGACACATTCGCTCAATATGAGATTGAACTGATTTTCCTTCGATGCTTACAATGTATTATTTTTCAATACTCCGACTTGATTTAAAAATTCTGTGGATGATATGAATGAATAAATGAAACAAAATTTTCTAAAAACAATAAGGTGTACTATAAGTATGCATTTTGATGAACGTATTGATACTGTCAAGAGAAAAATATAACGTACAATACCTTGAATTACACAGTAAGAATTTATTTGGTTTATTTATAGAAAATATTTAAATGTTTCTCCAGATTTTAAAAATAATACAATTAATATTATCTATATTTTTGCTATTGGATTAATAGTAAACATTTGTAGTGTTAAAGTTTTAGATTGTTGAGTATTGCGTAGCTTTTCGGTTTCACTGAAGCAAACAATATAATGCAAATTCAAGAGATATTGATGAATTGATTCCTTAAAGACTTGATATACTTTATTTGGGAAAAGATTTTATGAACGGAAAAAAGATCGCACTCTCATCATTGTTAAAATTTTAATAAAGAATTTTAATCGGGAACTTGTATTATCTACTGAACGTTAGAGGAAATATAGAACTCATTGAAATTAACACCATTCTTACTTTATATTTGAATGAAAAAGGTCTGAGGAAGCACGTTGTAGTCTAACAAAGGGATTCCCAACGTAATTCCAATAAATAGCTTCATTGCCTAGCTCGATTAAATGCTCTGCGAGCATCAAGAGCGCCCCGTTTAATTGACAATTTAAATTCATACCGGCATGTCAAGAATGATTTATCATCTAATCGTAATAAGTCAAGCCTTTAACATTTGTATACCACACTGTAAACCGTAGGTAATATTTCATAGTTATTTCTCGTTTAGTCAGTCAGCAATTGAATTGCAATTGTTTTAAACAACGTATACTTTGAGTTATCGTCTACAAAAGTATCAATCAAAGAGTCTCCACAATATCTCTAACACAAAGCCAACAATATTTCCTTCATCACTATTTTTCACGAAGCTGCTTTATGAAGTGCAAAAAGAAAGGAATGAAAGCAACACGTACAATCACAGCAGACAGACTAAGGTTGGAAGTTGTAATATTAGCTGCCGTCACTGTTTAATCACTGTGAACCCACACAAGCACTGAGTATACGCGCACGCGGATGCACCACAAGAAAGAGAAGAGCGACGAGCTTCACGCACGCGAACGTCGCGGCGGTTTCCTCGCGACTGGCGCACCACTCGTACCCCAAGCCCCGCCTTAACTGCCCTCTGACGCCGGCGCACCGTTTCAACTCTTGCTGCTCTGCAGGGGTAAGCTATACTATCTTGTTCGACGGATATTTTAAAATATTTTACTGGTTTTTCCAATCCGACCTAAAGTTTTGAAGATGTAAATAATTTTTTCACGCTTTAGTTCGAATTATGTTTTTGCTTGTTGTTTCTTCCATGTAATCCGAGAAACTCTCTGTAAATATTATTATTAAAAACTTATTTTAAGTATTTAGTATTAAATGGTTAGACATATGTGACAATAATATAGGTGTAAAATTGTAATCTATGTCAATTATTAAATGTAAAAACTTTTATTGGCGATCACGTATGTATTAGGCACGTGACACAGCGATGTGAAAGGGATATTTGCAAGTCTCACTTTAGAATAGCACAATAAATGTAAGTTGCAATTGACTGAATATTGGCGAAAAGATGAAAAGTACATTTAAAAATCCAACGAAAGCAATGTCAATGAAAAAGGTTCAAGAGTATTCTATCAATACTGCTATTGAAATCTTTCATACAAACAATGATAAAGTGTATTCTTTAAAACCTACACATTTAATTTTCACCTTAAGCTCCTCATTTATTCTCTTGATATGTATATATACAGTATAATAAAGAACTTTGTAGAATACTTTATTTATTTCTAAAAAGCTTATTCATTTATAGTTATTCAACGCTTATTAATATAACTTACTTCATGATTTACAAAAATTTAAAAATGAATTTTCTATTTTAATGAATGAAACGTTAATAAAAGAAACATCATTAAATAAATCATTCCGAAGGTTGTTTTAGCACGATTTTGCATTATATGAAACATTTGTTCCAGTGGAAGATACTGAATGGTAGATTTGCTATAATCCTTCCCTTTCCCTCGCATTTTTTAAAAATTTTTATTCTACGCTTTATCTATAATTACAAGAAGCGCGTGGGCTCTAGGCATAAGTCGCGTACCCAAGCCGAGATTATCTTAATGGCGTCGCAACTTTGCCCTTCCTTTCTGTCTTGCATTTTTCTTCCCGTTTACTCGCTGTTATCAAAAATTCAACATGAATTTGCTTTGAGCAGTTTTGCATCGTTGCCAACATGTCTTATGTGGTTTATTTAACTGAAATAATCATGTTTATTTATTGTACAATATAATTATTTATCTTATTTTATTATACTCTGATTTATTTCAAAGATACATAGCAATTAATAACAGAGAAATACTCTGCAAATCAAGAAGTACATGAACTTTCGCTTCGAATTATTATTATACCTTCATTTATTGTTTACTTAACCATGATTCGAGTTCGTTATTTATGTGAAGGTTCAATCACTGATAAAAGTAAAGAAACAGGACTCCATTAAGTCCTTTTATCTAAGCGATTCAATAAAACTACTTCAATGCTGAACAATGTTTATCAAATATTTTTTATTGTCATTGTCAATTTACCGAAAACATCAACAGCTACCAATCAACAAAAAGGGTATAAATCATCAGTTTTTCTAGTACAGTGTATATTTAAAATATAGTTTCCTTTTAATTCATAGTTTAAGCAAAAAATCTGAAATGCTAATATAAGCACGTCAAAGGATATTCCAGACTGCAGGAAGAAATGCCGAAATTCAGTAGACCACGAGTAAAGACGAGGAAAGACAGAAGGATTGAGTATTAACCTTTTTTGTGTGCTTCGTCGTTCAAGGTATAGGAGAAGGGAAATGAATACACAGTTCGTTGGTTAAACAAACATTTTTAAAATCTAGATGATATTTCTCGAGGTTTTATGCAAATATTTAAGAAATGTATATTCCAATAAACGAATAATTAAGTAATTGATGAACAATCGCATAGTAATTGGAGCGGACATAGAAAAGTTATAACATAGGTTTATTTATTTAAAAAAAAACAAGGAAATCATTTTTTTAGTGGTTGAGAAATATTTATGAATAATTAAAGTAAATATAAACGATTAATATATTCAATCAATTCTTTCTAAGTATGCATTAAAAAATACTACTAAAATAGTAAAATCCAAAAGTGTGTTATACCGAAAAAATCTTTTTATTGAACACCTGCTTTAACCTTAATGGCCGGAAAAGGCCTATAACATAAAAAAATCAACTTATATTTTTATATTTTACAAATAGTAACTAATCAATTAGTCATGGTAAATCTTTGTTAATGTGATAAGTATAGAATTACTCTTAAAAAATAATGATACAAAAGAAATTTATTTAACCAGATAAGACCGAAATAAAGCTAAAAATGAAAAAACTAGTGCAATCAAATGTTATTTTAAAATTTTTAACATTTGGCCTTACTGTACCAGATCGGGATACGCCTTTAGGCGTAAGGGGTCTGACCTGCTAACATCCCAACAGAGTTTGGACCTAACTTACGGACCTTAGACCATATTTCTATAGAAAAATACGATTTACAAACTTTTTAAATCCCCGGCCTTCTATTCTATATATTCTGAGGTTACAGACGTTGGGTAAATTTTTTTCTTTGAAATCAACATAAATTTTTTTATTTTGTTTCCAAAAAATAATGGTTATTATTTATAACTATGAAAGATATTTTCATTCTCTATAAAAAATCGTGGAATATAAGATTTATTTAAAGTTCGTTAACAATAGCAATTATTTCATTTTTAAGTCGAATATTCGTGATGAGAGAACTTTAAATGTGAAACGTGTTAGAGCACAGAGGAAAAGCGGAAAATTTGTCAGTCAAGGGACAACGACCGTACTTACAGGATCAGGACGGATGTCATCGACTCTACGAATTGTCAGGTATCGTGAAAATTAGTTTATTATGGTAAACTTACACAAGTTTTTGCAAACAGTGTTTGTTTGTTATAGTTATGTTGAAGAGTCTAACAAGTAAACGTGGGATAGAACATTCGCGTATGTATTTAAACGGCAATGCAACAGGAGCAAATGATAATTTTGCAGAATTCAAAAGTTAAGAATTAATAAAGTATACTTCATATTAACTAAATGTCAAATAAGCAATAATGTATACGTTGTATCGTTTTCTGTACGCAATTTAAGAAGAAAGTAAATAAAAGAAAATTTAAAGAATGCTGTTTGACGGGATAATAATAATTACGATATATAAATTATCAATAAAAACTATATAGACCTCGCTAATATTAAGCCGACATAAAGAACTGCTCTAAACGCTGTGAGGTAAAAACAAGTGAAATTACATCTTCAAAGGGGGCACACTCGCATTTTCATTAAAAAATCGCAATAACGCATATAGCCGCGCAACGAAAAGAAACGTTCTCTATCTCTCTCCTCAGCAAGAGAAAAAGAGAAAATAGAAAAAGAGCACGCCGCCGGCTGAAACAAAAAGACAGCCGGAGCACAGCCGAGGTGTCTCGCTCCGTAATGAGCGAATCTTTTATTCCGGGACAGCAGCGTCCTAAAAGAAGCTCTCGTAGGCACATTAGGAATCGCTGTCGACCATTGGTGTTGGCAGACATGCAATCGCGTATACTCTCATGACCCCTCGGGAAAACGCGCTCGCGCGCACTCTTTCTCTCTTATACGCTATGAGCGCCTCTTCTCTCCCCCTGTCTCTCTTCCCCAGAGCTCATTTCTTTCCCTTTGACCGTTAAGTTTGCTTTATGAAAATGATATTTTTCTTGTCGCGCCCACATACATTACGAGTGGATTTCGAATCTAATGGATGGCTTTTTTCAATCTTTATCCTGCCTATTTTTTATTTCAATAAATGAACCTGACTAAATTAGTGACTGGAAAAGGGTTCGACGTTTTTTACAATATCCAGCTATTTTTTAATAATATGTCAATTTGCTAAAAATCATGTTTCAACTGTTTCCAAATCGTGAAAACTTGCAGTGAATTGATTTTATATAAAATCTTTCAAAAATATTTTTAATAATTATTTCACAATATATCAATTTAAGAAGAACAACTTCAGACGAGAACAATTTAAGAAAGAAAAAATTTCCTTCAATTTTAACCTTAACTATTTTTTAATGTTCTATTTTTGTTATTTATGGAATGGTGTATTTTTTTCACTATTGTTCGTAAAATTAATAATTATTTGGTGTTTTTGGGCTTTAAATAGCAATCCACAAGTATCACTATTGCTTGATCAGTATTGCTTGATTATAACTTAAGTTGCATTTCTAGCAGGGGTGATTTCTAAACCAGTAGATGCTTCGGATAAATTGATTAGCCTTATCTCGGAATATCAAGGCTCAACGCAAAGGGTGTTCGAAATTCTGACACGTTATTCAGACTTTTTGAAAATTTTGAATTTCCGGCGGTGTTAGATACATCGAGGTGACATCTGAATTTTATTGTTTATTGCAAAAAACCGCTTTAATTACTCAGCCTAAGCCCCATAACAAAAGGACGAATTCTGTTTTCAAAAATACTTATTTCTCAACATTTGAAGATTAAAATAAGTTATAATAAAAGTGTAACAGCAGTCGGATAGTTAGAATTATACATTTTACAGTTATTGCAACTGATTGTAATATGTGATATTGTCATTTTTGTTGCGGAAAAGATTTATGCTAATGGCATTGAATTAAAAATTAGCTAAAGAGTCGAGTTCGAATCAACTAAAAATTTAACTATACTCAATCCTACGTTGTTCTAACGAAGAATATATGAAACTTTTAATTTTATTAAGTGAACGGCGCAAGAAAAAAGCGATGTAAATCTATAAAAGGTCTATTGTACTTGAAAAAATCGATTAAACCTTTTTGTTGAGAAGGGGTAAGGTTAAGTGAAAATAGTTATCGTGTTAAAAATGACTCTTTTAATGAAAGAAACAAACAAAAGTACCAAGAAATAGCGAACTCTATTATTAAACTGTGTTAAATAATTGGTGAAAAAAACTCCAGTTGGGAAAAAAGGCGTTATTTTACAATTAAACTGAAACAATACATGGAGTATATAA